AAATAAATAAAATAAAATCTTTAAAAATTTTTTGATAAAACTCTGGAAAGACTGTTATTATTTTAAAAAGATAAGGCACACATTCTGATTTTAGGAATGAAAACATATGACATTCCTATTTATTTCAAAAGCTCTAAAAATATAATAAGAGAATCTCACACTTGTTAGAATGACTATTATCAAAAAGACAAGACAGGGGCACCTGGGTGGCTCAGTCGGTTAAGCGGCTGCTTTCAGCTCAGGTCATGTTCCTGGGGTGCTGGGATCGAGTCCTGCATTGGGCTCCCTGCTCAGTGGGGAGCCTGCTTCTCCCTCACACTGTCTCCCAGCTTGTGCTCTCACTCTCTCTCTCTCTCTCTGTCAAATAAATAAATACTCTTAAAAAAATAATTTAAAAAACCCAAAAAGACAAGACATAACAAGCATTGACGAGAATGTGGAGCAAAGGGAACCATTAAGCACTGTTGGCGGGAATGTAAATTGGTGCAGGTGCTGTGAAAACAGTATGAAGGTTCCTCAAAAATTAGCAAATAGAACTACCATATGTTGCAGCAATTCCACTTCTAGGTATGTATCTGAAGGAAACAAAATCACTATCTCCGAGAAATATCTGCATCCTTATGTTCATTGCAGCATTATTCATGATAGCCAAGACATGGAAACAACCACCGATGAATGGATAAAGAAAATGTGATATGTATATATGTATAAAATGGCATAATATTCAGCCATAAGAAAAGAAAGAGGGGCGCCTGGGTGGCTCAGTCATTAAGTGTCTGCCTTCGGCTCAGGTCATGATCCCAGGGTCCTGGGTTCGAGCCCCACATCGGGCTCCCTGCTCAGCGGGAGGCCTGCTTCTCCCTCTCCCACTCCTCCTGCTTGTGTTCCCTCTCTCGCTATGTCTCTCTCTGTGAAATAAATAAAATCTTTAAAAAAAAAAAAAAAGAAAGAAAAGAAAGAAATCCTGTCATTTGCAACAACATAGATGGACCTTGAAGGCATTATGCTAAGTGAAATAAGTCAAAGAAAGACAAACACTGTATGATCTTACATGTGTAATCTAAAAAAGTCAAACTTAGAGAAATGGAGTAGAATGGTGTTTGCCAGGGGTTACGGGTGGGGAGTGAAATGGGGAGATGTTGGTCAAAGGGTACAAACTTTCAGTCATAAGATGAATAAGTTCCAGGGATCTAATGTGCAACATGGTGACTATGGTTAACAATACTGTGTTGTATCCTTGAAAGTTGCTTTAAGAGTGGAAATTTAGGGGCGCCTGGGGGCCTCAGTCAGTTAAGCGTCTGCCTTAGGCTCAGGTCATGATCCCAGAGTCCTGAGATCGAGCCTTCATCCGGCTCCCTGCTCAGCGGGGAGTTGGCTTCTCCCTCTCCTTCTGCCTCTGCCCCTCCCCCTGCTCATGTCTCTCTTGCTTGCTCATGCTCTCTCTCAAAAAAATAAAATCTAAAAAAAAAAAAAAGAGAGTAGAACTTTAACGTTCCCACCATAGCAGCAACAACAACAAAATGAAATGGTAATTATGCGAGATGAAGGATGTAACTAAACATTTTGCAATATATATATGATTCAAATCATCACATTGTACACCTTAAACTTACATGATATTATATGTCAATTATAGCTCAATAAAGCTAAAAAAAATAAGAGATTATGTAAATCCTTACCCTGATAAATTTGAAACTTATATAAAAATGAAAAATTTCCTACAAAATCACAACATTTCAATAATATCTGAGGAAGGAAAAAATCTGAAGAGTTATATACGTATTTTTAATCAACTCTAAGTAAGACCTTGTCACAAAGGATAAAACAGAGATTGGATTACTATTAATATAACAGCAGCTGCAGACTTAAAATATAAACAAACACTGAGCCATAATGCTACTCACTCAGTCCTCAGTCCAGGAGGATTCCGATAAAACAGTAGCAGAAGAAGGCACCCCCCCAATCGCCTCTGACTTCGCGCTGTCACCAAGTCTAAAATGTGAAGGATGAAGTCATGTTCCTCTTTCTGACAGCAGATAGAGCCATTGAGACATGTACAACGTGCCAACCGCAAAAAGCTAAAGGCATCTTAGACATTCTTCTATGATGATTTAACAGTCGAATGCAAGGGGTTTCTGTGATGGAAACTGGCAGAGTTCCTGACTCTAATGTGCCAGACCCGGTAGGAATTTTCAATCCTGGTAGGTCCAGCTCCCAGGCACCTGAAAGCTGGGGTACATTGTACATCCTGCTGAGAAGGAGGGGTTTTGCTTAGGTTTCAGGATCTGCACCGGAAGAGAACTTAAAAGTAGAAGCTACCTTCATGCCTGTGACATCTGTGAGCAGAGATCATCTCTCACTCCTATCCAGGAGAGACATGAACATGAGGTTCACCAGGGAGCCTGTCCGCAGGCAGGAAAAAGTCAGCAGAGAGGCTCAAATGGCCAGGTGAAAATACAACTTTTTTTTTTTGAGAGGGACAGAGAGAGAAAGAGAGCACAAGGGGGTGTGGGGGGGGGCAGGGCCAGAGGGAGAAGCAGGCTCCCCACTGAGCAGGGAGCCCGAGGCAGAGCTCAATCCCAGGACCCTGAGATCATGACCTGAGCAGAAGGCAGACTGAGCCACCAGGAGCCCTGCCCCTGTAACTTTTTAATTAAAGAGAAATGTTCCCACCACACACCCCCAGCGGTGCTTCAAACCATCCTTGGGATGAGGGGAAAATTATGCAGAAGAGAGTGAAAATATCTGCTTTAACAGAGGAAAAATCATCTTCTGATCAAAACACCTGTGTCTGTGCTGGTTAGAATTCAAGATCTATGTATCTAAAGGTCACATTCAGGTTTTATTTTGTTTTGTTGTTTTCCTTTTTATAATCCATTTTGTCACTTCATTCATATTAACAGAATAGTGATATGTGACCTGATTTTAAGAACACCCTTACCCAACACACACACACACAGTATTGGTAAAAATTAAACATTACTTTATGACCATGGGTGGTAATCATAGTTCTCTGGCACTGACTAGAAACACAATATCCATAGTATTTTTTTTTTAAAGCAGTAAAGTTATTGATATTGAACACTTTCTAGTGGTGAGTCCAGAAAAGTTTTAAAAAATTAGATCATATTGGGCGCCTGGGTGGCTCAGTTGGTTAAGCGACTGCCTTCGGCTCAGGTCATGATCCTGGAGTCCCGGGATCGAGTCC